GCTACTCTGGAATGGAATATATCATGGCCTTTATGAGTGTACGACCACATGTGTTGCATCTTGGTAGTTATATTAAGATTGTAGTCTACTCAAGTTCTCTTTCATGCTAGATCAAAGGTACTTGAAACTTATGTAATTTCATCATGTATGTGGTAGTAAGCAATATAGCATGTGTGAGAGTCTCAGACATGGATATGCCAGAATGTAGGTGACATGGCATAACACAATGACATGTGACACATTATAAATATTACTTAGAAAATATAACTAAGACAACAAGAAGTGTCTGAGACAAACATAATTTTACATTGGAACTGTTTGTGCTTCCTATAGTATTAACTGCCTAAGTGACTATATGCAAGACATACTCTCTATCTAGTTTGTGTTCTTTCATTCTTGGTTTTCAACCTTCTTTCAAATTCCTTAATTGTATCTTTTTTTTATTATTTCCATCAAATACATGAATCCATGAATACAACCCAGTACATGGCTGATGGCAATACCAATTGAAGGGTCTGTCTTATAGATAGAAGTACTACTTATGTGCCTTTTGTTATATCTAATTCTATATATTTTTCCATTGAAGATGCTAGTGGAAAATGTAGGACTTTATTTAAATCTCTTAGCTTTTCAAGTATGAAGTTTATATAATGGTTGGTTTAATTATATAGGCTGATACCTCATAACTCAAATTGTATTTTATAATGGAAGGCACTCATTTGTTGTGAGCAGCTATTAGAACCCTTCTTATATTATCCTTCAAGTAAAGGATCCAAATTTGTTTCTCTATTGTCAAGGGTAAAGGAAGTTCTTAAATCTTAAAAAGGTATAAATTTAAACTTCCTGTGGAAAATGCTCATTACTTAGACATAAGTTAATATTTGTTGAATCAATAGGGGAATGTTATATGGATATGAGATGATATAGGTTACACTGCTAGGACAACTCTAAAAAATCAGGAAGTGGATAAATCTTGGATACGACAATCACAGCATCATATGCATATATGTATTTTGTGGATTATTAATGTTTATTTAAGCATGAAATAACAAGGTTATATAAGTGAAAAACCGGTCAAACTTAGATACCGTAGTAAAGAATATTTTCAAGTTACATATATTCATTAGCGCTGAAGGAACATAATTTAAAAAAAAAAAAGTAAAATGCAGCATATCCACTAAAAAAGTCAAATGTAATGGTGCAGCAACCATTTCTAGGATTTTGAACTTCTTTATTTTTATATGTACGCATGGCAGTGTGGCACATCTAGAATATGTTACAAATGTCAGCAGATGTTAAAAACTAGCATCTAACAAGGATGCATCAAGTGTTGGGTTTATCTCTTATCAAACTATTCACACAACAAAAATTCTAATGAGCTTGTTGTCCATAGCATGTTTATCGAGAAACTCAAGTTTCATGCGCAATATCGAGATGTAAAACATTTGTTTATAACTTTAAACCTCTAAAGGCATATAAGAAGCCCTCCCCTCTGAGCTTTGAGCTAAAACTAGCATATACCAGGATCCATCAAGTATTGAGTACATCTTTTGTGAAACCATTTGTAGAGCAATACATAGTGATGCGAATGAGCCTGTTATTCGTAAAAGTTCATTTGGAAGCAGTCTAAGTTCGTGCTCAACCACTGAGACGTAAAACTGGTCTATAATTCTAAATCTCTAAAGGCTCATGTGATGCACTTCCTTGGTAGCTTTATAGCTCTATGTGAAGGATGAGCTTTTTTTAATGTTTGAAAATTTGAATATAGGACATCTATATGTTGGCTGGATGAGGTGATCTTACTATATCATACTTACTGATTTCCCAATGTGAACATGTTTCAACCCTTGTGTAAATTACATTAGTTGAAGAAATGTTTTCAGGTTACAGTAAGTCATTATTGAGGACTTTGTTATCTTATTGGATGTAGTTGAAAGTCATGAAAGAGAATGTTGCCCCTTCATCAGTTCCAGTACCTGCTCCTGCTAGGGCTGTGCCTTCTGAACCAGAAAGGCAGGCGGCCCCTGCTCCTACTGAAGCTTCTGTCCCTGAGACTCCTCCTGTCAGTTCAGATGCTCCAGAAACTACCAGTGTCCAAGAATCTGAAGGTGACGGCAATTCCCTTGTGATAAATCACCACTCTATAAGCTTTATTGACCTTGGCAGTAATGATGACGGCCATGCATCTGCATATTTTCAGCTGACGGTCATTCAATATACATAAAAGGACTACCACTTAATGCGACAGCCATGCAACTTGAAGAGGAGTTCAAGAGGTTTGGACCAATTAAGCCCAGTGGCATACAAGTTAGGAGCCATAAGGTTATTTACTGTTCCAACTTCCAATTTCCAGTATGCTTCTTATTATACCCAAGAAATCCGCTCCAGAATGTTTAGTATTTTCTTTCCTGTAATCTTGGCTTGTTTTTGGATGGCAGCAACAAGGGTTCTGTTTTGGTTTCATAGAGTTCGAGACTATTACTTCTGTTCAGAGTGCAATAGAGGTAAACTTACTAGCTGATGTTGACATTCTCTTGTTCCCTATCTAATGATTTGGTTGAGACTTAGCTGGCTAAAGGAGCAGCTCTTTCCGTATCCTTATCATATCCTGCCGTTGTTTTGTTCATTCTGTTTTATCTGTTTAGCTGCTTGCATGATATTTGCTTATTTTGACTCAAGTGTGTACTCTATTTGTTGATTTTTTAGGCTTCACCTGTAATGATTGGTGGCCGTCAAGCCATCATTGAAGAAAAGCGGCCTACTGGTTCACGAGGTACATGTTAAATTTTCTTTGCACTGCACGCTGTATGTAAACTTTCATGGTTTTACAATTTCATGATTCCACTTGATTTTGGTGAAGTATTATTTTCAGCATGTATGGTTATTACCAAAATGTATACGTCTCATTTTCTTCTACTTATAATAACCTACTCGGAATTGACCACAAATTTGAAGTTTTACTGTAATCGGAGATACTTTTAAGTTTGTATTGGAGCTAACAGCTTCAAATCTCTGCGGGTGCGAGTTTAAAAGGCAGATTTTTATTATAAGAAAAACCCGCTCCATTGTAGACTGATTTTCCCTTCCGAAATAACTGGGAAGATCTAATCTCTTCTAGTATTAAACGCGCTCATGATCCTTAGGCTATACAGCATGGAGCAGGCAGAGATATGAAAGGACCATCTTCTCCTGCTTGCTTGATGGGAATCTATTCTAGAAGGGATGAAGTGCTACTCAACTTAGTAGTAGAAACTCAGAGAGACAGATAAAGGATTCTCATACTTGCAAACTCCTAGGATAAGAAGCCTTCTTCTTGGTGGGAAGAGTTTCCTCCCTCGGGTCGCCTTTTTTGCCTCTCGGTAGAGTGACTCTACTTAGCGAACTGTCAGGCTGCTTACCCAAGCACAATTTTAGAGCTAAGGAGTAGCAAGTACTTTATCTGCCTCTAATCTTGCTACAACTTTAGAGCTCCACTATAGTTGTCAGTAATTTAAGAACTGTATTTACTTTTTGCTAGTTGAAAAGCAGGCGACGAATAGTTTGTAATCCTTCAATTTTAGTGCATAATGCATATATTTTAGCAGCATTTAGTGCTAATCACTTTTTTGCCCTCGATCTATCGTGCAGTCAGGGGCAGAGGAAGATTCTCTGGAAGAATGGGCGGATTCCGGAGCGAAGGATCAGGAGGCCGTGGTAACTTTGGTGGTGGCGGTAGAGGCTACGGAAGAGGGGATTTCGGTAGCAAGGGGGTGTTTGGCGGCAGGATCAGGGCGTGGAGACGGTGGTGATAGGTATCAGAGAGTCGGTCTTCGTGGGCCCCACAAGGATGCTTCCCCTCGCGCGTCGGCTCCTGTTTGACAACAAGGAAAAAGGAGACATTTTATTCTTTGCTAGTAAGGTAACCAGGTTTTGATGTCGAAAGGTTAGTGGTTGATACAGTGCTTGGGTGCCATTTTACATCCAGGAGTCCTCATATTCATCGCGTGTTTTACTCGCGCACCTGGTGAAATGCTGTATAACTAGAGTAGCTTACGGGCTGACGTAGAGTAGGTTGTCCTTTTAGTTCTGTATTCTTTATTTCTTTCAATTTGTTGGAAAGAACAGGCCTTCTCATTTTTTGTTCTTCGCTTTTTCTTCCATTTGACGATGTATTTCTTCAACTTTGGGTCATTTCTTGTCTGATTTTTTTTTGTTTTTACATGTTCTGTATTTCACGGACTATGGTCTTTGTTGTTTCCGACTGTTCCTTGTAAAAATCAAGGATCTGAATAGTTGTGACTGTTTAATTCGAGTAACTGAATGAATGTATGTCTGAATGCGTTGAGTTCTGAGACCTGAGGTACGTGCTTCCTTTTTTTGTTTTTTAATCTTTTTCTTTTTTTTTATAGTACCTGTGTTTTATCTCTTGGTGCTAACTCTGGACTCGAACTAATTTGTTTTAAAGTGAAAGCGCATGAAAAGATTATTACAGTGCTTCAGTTTAGGGTATTAGCGTCTAGGAAATATAATTTTATTTTATGTTTATAGCGTTTGAATTGTCGATTATGCATGTGATAAGATCAAATATGCATTTATGAGGGAGTATTAATTTGTGTTTAGTTGTGGGCACAAATGATGGAAAATGAACATGGCACTACTAAATATTTGTTTAATGGAGGATAAGGCGTGCATCTGTATGTTTTATGGCTGTACGTATAACCGTATAATGTATCCTCTTCGCCGCATCTAGGCTGGGCTTGGATCTAGAGGCCGTTTGGTAGGCTTATCTTTTAAAAATTAGTGTACTGATCCAAGTGTCCTCCTTTTTTTTTGTCGAACGCATGCATAAACATGCGCATCTTGGCTGGCGAGTAGTTCTCCATGTGAGTTTCTAGAGACTTCCAAAGTTCACACGTGTAATTGTCAAAATTTTACTCAAGGTAGGAGAGAAACAAATTTTTAGTCGAGGGGTTTAATTATCTGTGAAAATAAAACCACAGAGCTGTTCGGTTGTGGGAAAATAGAGCTTCGGATCTAATACAACAATTAGATTCACGCTCAAATTTCTGGTTTACAACATTTTAGTCAGAAAAAAGAAATGAACTTACAATTTGCGGAGAAATAAAAAAGACAACAGAAAAATGTTGCCATCTCCAACTATGAAAGTAAAAATATAATTCCACCTCGTCAATAAAAATTCCTTCTAAATCCAAATGGTAAAACCATCTATGCCCATGATTTCATTTATGACATAATTGTGCAGCTCTTTTTTTCACCCTTTTTTGTAATAATTAATTACGTAGCTTTTACACTAACCATTTTCCAATTGAACACCGACTCTGAGATTGTAATACGTACATTTTCCTATACTAAAATTGCGGATACCCAAACGTTGAAGCTGAAGGTCATTTACTAATCTCGGGAGCGGATCTTCTATCAACCCGACCCGTTTTAGCATTCACCAGGGCCACCACGTGTCCTAAAAAAACCGCAATATAAAAACTTTGATACCACGTGGATCCTACAGTAGCCCACGTGTCACACGTCCTCAAGCCCATGTAACCTGGCAACGCGACCATGCATTAATTAATCCCCGTCAACAACAACCCCGCCCCCCCCCCCCCCCACCCCAAAAAAAACACGCGTCAGCTTCGGAACGCAGCACAAGCTGTCGCCGACCAGCCTACGCGTTCCTGTCCGAGGTTGTTCCTCCACGTGTCAGTCACCCGGGTTGCTTCTGAAGAGAATAAAGGGGGTCTACAAGCGGATCCGATAGCGAGAGAGGGAGAGAGAGAGAGAGAGGGAATGGGAAGGGTTTGAAGAGAGCGTACCCGTTAGACGACGAGGAGGTGGAGCTCAGCCTCGGCCTCTCCGTTGGGGCGGCGGCAACCGCAGGGGCCGGCGCTGACGGGTCGGCCGGGGGAGACGTCCGAACCCGAGACCCGTTAGCCGCCCGCGGGCGTCCGATGGTGATGAACGTGTTTGGTGGCCAGCAGCCGGCTCGGGCCGGAGCCTCTCGCACCGCTAGCAGCTTGGTCTCCGGGGCTTTTTAGCTAACCCTGATCAACCTAACTACGGGGGATTCGGCGGGAACGGGTGCACGAGAATGGGGGGGTTTGCTTGGAGAAGCTCACAGAGCGTCCTAGCTCGAGGTGAGTCTTATTAGAAAGAAAAATGCCGGTGGCGCCTTAGGGATCCAAAAACATCGGACCCTACATGAGACATGCATATGAGGTGTCGGCTCACTGTCCTATGATGTACTGTTCACGACACAGTGAGTTAACACCTCACATGTGCCGTATCCCTATTTTTAAGTTGCTGTAGTACTACCCTATTAGAAAACCATAACTTAATTAATTACCACCGTAACTTAATTAATTACCTCTCGAATTCGCGTGTGCATAATCTATTTTTGTTTAAATTTTAGAAAAACCTATTTTTGTTTAAATTTTAGAAAAACCTGTACGTTTACGACGACCCTCCATAACTTTCAAAATATTGGGAAACCCCCTTCAACGTTAAAGATTTTGGAAGTTGTTGGGGGTTATATCAGAAATCGTCCAAAGTTGAGGGGGTTTCCTGAAATATAGGGTGTACTTTTTCACCCCAAAATTATAATCAACCTCCAATTTTATCCCTGTTTAAGGAATAGAATTAAAATATCCAGGTATGTTTTGTTAAAAATGTAGTGGTTTCTATTGCACGTTGATTCTTTGTTGACCCTCTGTATGCTAATACATATAAACGATCTTGAAAGCCCATATATACCATATTGTAGGATCGTTGGGCACTATTTACTCTCTATTTTGGTATGATATTGTCCGCTTCGGGCCAAGCCCTCACGGTTTTGTTCTTGGGTTTCACCCAAAAGGCCTCATACCAATAGAGACTTGCCCTTTCATTATAAACTCCAAATCCCCTTCTTATTTATAGTCGATGTGGGACTATGATTGCCCACTCAACAATCCTCCCCTCAAACAAAGTCCCACCGAGCCTCCCCTTAAATGATCATCCATCCGTCCTCTCCTACACCGGGAAGACCTGCTTCATCGAGTCCATCAACCTCGTGAGCCTTTTTCCTCTATCCAGGCATCTCCTCTTCACCGGGAGCACACCGCCTGTCCAATAGAGCTCAACCATGATCTTTCTTTAATCGGGGGCTCACCACTTTTGTTTTGGGGCTAAACTCCGGGACCTTGGCTCTGATACCACTTGTAGGATCGTTGGGCACTATTTACTCTCTATTTTGGTATGATATTGTCCGCTTCGGGCCAAGCCCTCACGGTTTTGTTCTTGGGTTTCACCCAAAAGGCCTCATACCAATAGAGACTTGCCCTTTCATTATAAACTCCAAATCCCCTTCTTATTTATAGTCGATGTGGGACTATGATTGCCCACTCAACACATATATCTTTTGTGTCTCCGCTTCAAGATATAATAATTAATATAATAATTAGTCAAAGGAAGAAAGTATCTAGTGAGCACAATTCACCAGACACGTGGTGTCTCGAGAGAGAATCGTCCATGCAAAGTACGTATGAAGATATCTTTTGTGAGTAACGCATTGATCCAAGTGTCCTCCTTTAGCTCGTCACATCATGTACTTATGAAAAATGCCTTGGGATCATTTTTATGGGACACGGGGACACGTGTCCCCTCCCCATTGCTTGACGCACTGTTCATGAACAGTGCGTCAAGCAATGGGGAGGGCCCCCTGTCCCATAAAAATAGTCCATATAGAGCTAGTCTTTACGTATTGATCAAACTGCATGTCCTCCTTAAGCTCACCACAGCAATGAACGTATTACACAAACCCCTTGCATTAATAAACCAACTTATCATAATTGCTATACCTGACCTTCTAATTTGATATTTTATTTATCACAATTAAAATGAATAATCTCCAATCGGCGCAAATTCATGCGTACTGGCACAACTGCGGACAGGCCCCCCTTAATTAGTTCTATGGTTGATGAAGACGGTCCCTGAATGAATCTTTTTGGCTCTTCTACCCTCAGAGAATTGACCTGCAATTGATCACTCTAATCAAAATGAAATAATGCATCAAACCTAACTACTCATGCACTGAGATTGTAATACGTACATTTTCCTATACTAAAATTGCGGATACCCAAAACGTTGAAGCTGAAGGTCATTTACTAATCTCGGGAGCGATCTTCTATCAACCCGACCCGTTTTAGCATTCACCAGGGCCACCACGTTGTCCTAAAAAAACCCAATATAAAAACTTTGATACCACGTGGATCCTACAGTAGCCACGTGTCACACGTCTCAAGCCCATGTAACCTGGCAACGCGACCATGCATTAATTAATCCCCGTCAACAACAACCCCGCCCCCCCCCCCCCACCCAAAAAAAACACGCGTCAGCTTCGGAACGCAGCACAAGCTGTCGCGACCACCTACGCGTTCCTGTCCGAGGTTGTCCTCCACGTGTCAGTCACCGGGTTGCTTCTGAAGAGAATAAAGGCGGTCTACAAGCGGATCCGATAGCAGAGAGGGAGGCAGAGAGAGAGAGAGGAATGTGAAGGTTTGAAGAGAGCTACCCGTTAGACGACGAGGAGGTGGAGCTCAGCCTCGGCCTCTCCGTTGCGGCGGCGGCAACCGCCAGGGGGCCGGCGCTGACGGTCGCCGGGGAGACGTCCGAACCGAGACCCGTTAGCGCCCGCGGGCGTCCGATGGTGATGAACGTGTTTGGTGCCAGCGCCGGGCTCGGCGCGGAGCCTCTCGCACCCGGTAGCAGCTTGGTCTCCGGCTTTTTAGCCTAACCCTGATCAACCTAACTACGGGGGATTCGGCGGGAACGGGTGCACGAGAATGAGGGGGGTTGCTTGGAGAAGCTCACAGAGCGTCCTAGCTCGAGTGAGTCTTATTAGAAAGAAAAATGCCGGTGGCGCCTTAGGGATCCAAAAACATCGGACCCTACATGAGACATTGCATATGAGTGTCGGCTCACTGTCCTATGATGTACTGTTCACGACACAGTGAGTTAACACCTCACATGTGCCGTATCCCTATTTTTAAGTTGCTGTAGTACTACCCTATTAGAAAACCATAACTTAATTAATTACCACGTTAACTTAAATATAATTACCCTCTCGAAATTCGCGTGTGCATAATCTATTTTTGTTTAAAATTTTAGAAAAACCTATTTTTGTTTAAATTTTAGAAAAAACCTGTACGTTTACGACGACCCTCCATAACTTTTCAAAATATTGGGAAACCCCCTCAACGTTAAAGATTTTGGAAGTTGTTGGGGTTATATCAGAAATCGTCCAAAGTTGAGGGGGTTTCCTGAAATATAGGGTGTACTTTTCACCCCAAATTATAATCAACCTCCAATTTTATCCTGTTTAAGGAATAGACATTAAAATATCAGGTATGTTTTGTTAAAAATGTATGGTTTCTATTGCCAGCGTTGATTCTTTGTTGACCCTCTGTATGCTAATACATATTAAACGATCTTGAAAGCCCATATATACGCATATTGTAGGATCGTTGGGCACTATTTACTCTCTATTTTGGTATGATATTGTCCGCTTCGGGCCAAGCCCTCACGGTTTTGTTCTTGGGTTTCACCCAAAAGGCCTCATACCAATAGAGACTTGCCTTTCATTATAAACTCCAAATCCCCTTCTTATTTATAGTCGATGTGGGACTATGATTGCCCACTCAACAAGCCTCCCTCAAACAAAGTCACCGAGCCTCCCTTAAATGATCATCCATCCGTCCTCTCCTACAACGGGAAGACCTGCTTCATCGAGTCCATCAACCCTCGTGAGCCTTTTTCCTCTATCCAGGCAATCGCTCTTCACCGGGAGCACACCGCCTGTCCAATAGAGCTCAACCATGATCTTTCTCTTAATCGGGGGCTCACACTGTTTGTTTTGGGGCTAAACTCCGGCGACCTTGGCTCTGATAGCACTTGTAGGATCGTTGGGCACTATTTACTCTCTATTTTGCGTATGATATTGTCCGCTTTCGGCCAAGCCCTCACGGTTTTTGTTCTTCGGGTTTCACCCAAAAGGCCTCATACCAATAGAGACTTGCCCTTTCATTATAAACTCCAAATCCCCTTCTATTTATAAGTCGATGTGGGACTATGATGCCACTCAACACATATATCTTTGTGTCTCGCGCTTCAAGAATAATAATTAAATAATAATTAGTCAAAGGAAGAAAGTATCTAGTGAGCACAATTCACCAGACACGTGGTGTCTCGAGAGAGAATCGTCCATGCAAAGTACGTATGAAGATATCTTTTGTGAGTAACGCATTGATCCAGAGTGTCCTCCTTTACTCGTCACATCATGTACTTATGAAAAATCTTGGGATCATTTTTATGGGACACGGGGACACGTGTCCCCTCCCATTGCTTGACGCACTGTTCATGAACAGTGCGTCAAGGCAATGGGAGGGCCCCCTGTCCATAAAATAGTCCATATAGAGCTAGTCTTTACGTATTGATCCAAACTGCATGTCCTCCTTAAGCTCACCACAGGCAATGAACGTATACACAAACCCTTGCATTAATAAACCAACTTATCATAATTTGCTATAGCCTGACCTTCTAATTTGATTTTTATTTATCACAATTAAAATAATAATCTCCAATCGCCGCAAATTCATGCGTACTGGCACAAACTGCGGACAGCCCCCTATTAATTAGTTCTATGGTTGGATGAAGACGGTCCTGATGAATCTTTTTTGGCTCTTCTACCCTCAGAGAATTGACCTGCAATTGATTCCTCTAATCAAAATGAAATAATGCATCAAACCTAACTACTCCGGCTTATGTATTACAGGATGGAGCAGCAGCGGCAAGCGACAGGAGCAACTCCTCGTCGACCCGACCTCGCACCTGACAGCCGAGGGAGGCAGGAGGCCGTCTCAAACCCCAGGCCCCGGCGCAGGCGTGGCCCGTCCCCGCCGCGGCGACCGCGATGCCGTGCGGTCGCGACGAGGGCGCCGACGGAGGACGGTGAGGGGGCTGCTGTACAGGTACGACGAGGGCGAGGTGAGGATAGTTTGCGTTTGCCACGGGGTTGCTTCTCGCCGAGGGTTCGTTAAGCATGCCGGGGGCCCGGAGAGCTCGAACCCGACGAGGCAGATTGTGGTGGTCCCGCCCCAAGCGGCTAAAATAACTGACTGATCTTGCATTGAGAGAGAGGTGTACGTAGAGTTCCTAACCGACCTGTAGATTTGTGAACTTCTTTTTGTGTCGATGATTAAAAGTATATATGGTAGTAGTGCCTGCTCATGGTCTACGTAGTTATAGTTGTAGATTTGTGCTGCTGCTGGTTCGGTTCGCATTTTTTTTCAGCCCCTCGAGTTTTTCCTGCGTTTGGATTGAATTCGGAATACTGTTATGAGTCCCAAATTTGACGACGAAATTTTTTTGTTTTGGTTTGGATGGTGGATCTTTTTTGGAAAATGATAGTTATTATGAACCGTCTTCTGAACTTCATTCAGAAGATTATTTTGCCATAAGTAAGATCACCTCCGTGAAGGGGGTAAGAAAAGAAAAAGTAAAAATGTTTTGGTGAGGGCCTGTTTCATCAACATTTTTTTTTCCGCTCCCCTGAGGGCCTGTTTGGTTGTTTTACTCAAATCAAAGAAAAAGGAAGAAGGTTGGGAAACTATTAAATAAGTTTTCCTTCAATTTTCTTAACAAAATTCAATTTTCTGTTGATGTAAAAGCTCATGGGTTTAGAAACTCTTCCGTAAATTTACTAGAGTGTGTAACTTTAGTTATGGTTTACAAAATTATTATGAATTTTCAGGTGAAGACAATAAGCTATCATGAACTTCACATTATGGCACTCGCAAGTTGCAACTATTACTATTAATTAAATCACCATACGTTTTGTCTGATTTAGCTGGCTGGATTACTATTTTGGTAATTCATCCTTTTTCTCAAAAAAAAAAAAAAAATCACCATACGTTTTTATTATAGTATGTGACAACCTTCTATTGATCCGCAAATGTTAGTTAACTTCTAATAAAAACAGTCTATGACGCTTTTTCGCAGAGTACCTAAACAAATAAGAGGATACTTTTGCGAAATTTACTCATAATCATTTGTACGCTGGACCATAACTAGCTCTACTTGCTCTTATCAGCTGCCTCAAGCACAAATTTGATGACAGGTCCCAATAAAACAAGGAGACGAAACTATAAGATTGCTCAGATTTATGGCTCATGTATCAGAAATCAGCAAGCTCAGTGCATCACAAACATACACCAGGACGTGACAAGCTATTGTCAAAATTATTTATACAGGAGAAATAACCTACAAGCGTTACTTCATCGCCAATTTGTTCAGAGCTGCATTTATTTTCTCTTCTGTCATGCTCTTATAGGCTTCAGGGATGCCTTTGAAAGCTTCAATTCTGGATTCATAGAAGTTGAGTATCTCCATGGATATATTCTTCACCTGTAAAATTTACCGTGTTCTCATTATTCCGAATTCATAGAAGAGAAAAAAAAAAGGTTCCAGCCATTGTCAGAGGAATAACATACAACATTCATGTCGACACGAAGCTCCTCGAACCAGGCAGTCGTCTCTTTATCTTTGAGCACACTCGCGATGTATATGCAGGCTAATGCTATCATATGTGGAGGATAGATGAGAATGAGATCCGTCTTGTAGGTGTCATTCACAAGACCCCTGCATATATTATTTTATTATAAGAAATAATGATGACGAATAAGAGTGTCTGCAGATTGAACATAGGGTAGAAAGACCCCCTGTAGTGTCAATAGTTTGAACTTAATACTCCTGCAGTTTTTTTGTTGAAGATAGAACCCCGGGCATTTTTTTGACTCTTTTATCCTCGGACAGACTCTGTCATTCTACCGAGGAATAATATCTCTCAAAATTTCACCAGGGGTAAGAGAGTCAAAAATGCTACCCCAGGGGCTTTCTGCAACAATGTAACAACAGGGGTGGTAAGTGCAAAATAGCAATACTGCACGGGTCTATGTAGACTTAACCCTTGAAATAATATACCTGTGCACAACTATTCACAGGTTACAGTAGATTTTGCGAGGTCTAAGTAGACTATTATCTATACTAAGATAAGGCATTTATTAGTGAAACATAAGGGGAATTTATCAAGCAAATTGAAAGAAATATTCTACTGTTTGCATTACTAAAGATGAATGTGTCCCAAATATAGATTATGGTATTCCAATCAAGATAAAGGCTATATTTTATGCTCTCAACTAGATTCCTTTATTTCTTTTGAGAATCTAAGGTCAACTTCATGAGTTGATACACTCCAATATATGAGTTGAGAAAAAGTATTCAACCAGGGGCGAGCTGCTAAGGCTATGAGTAAATTAGAGTTATATAATCAGTTATAATAATTACACTTCTTTGCCAGGTTTAGGATTAATTTTCTATGATGGGAGCAGGACAACTCATCATATGATTCAACAAAGCAACAATAATGAAATGCTTACCAAGAAATATGAGTCAAATCTGTCATGTTAGCATCCTGCAATAATCTGTCCAAATAGAAAATATAGGCAGAATCAGCGTATTAAAAGAACGGAAGGGGAACGTAAAAGAAAAACTAAGCTATAACTTCTTTTTGATATCTTAATTCCATATTAGGGCAAACCAATCTTGAGTTTACACAACTATATATTCAATAAACTATTTCCTCAAATTAATGATTTCAACTTAACACACTTCAAAGAGAAACTAAGTGCCCAAATACACTGCAGGTTATTAGATACTTATCGGATTAGCACATAATTAACTAGAGGAAATAGAAGGAGTGAGGAAGTACAGTAGGAGAAAATAAGCGGAAAGATAAGAAGACAAAAAAGACTAATATCACTTTGAGACAAGATGCCGTGTCACTCCAAATCGGCCGTGCCAATTGATAGTACCCCATGACCTAAAATTATGACATTGCAAGAAGGCATATTCAATATTGACTAAGACCAAATTCGTTAATTATATATCTATACTACTGCATACTGAAAATTGTGAGGGTACGGAAAGAAAGGTTGTAAGCTGGACATCATATAGATGGATGAGGGATAAAATGGTATTTTTGTGGGTTTCAATATAAAATTTTGTTTCTTAAATATATATATATTTTTTCATATCACATGCTCCAACTATAATAGTTTAGTAAACTTAAAAACTTGTACTAAAATCATCTACTGATTTCAGTAGCTCAAGCCTTGATCAATAGGAATAAATTCCGATTCTTTTGTTAGGGTTTTGAAATTCCATGTTGAGTGAGAAATCATATTAGAGGTTGTTGCTGTACTTGGTGAGATTGAATTGGGAGAGTAGACAGAGAAGACGTAGACTGTGATTTCGTTAGGGCGATAGATGAGCTGGAGGATGAGAATGATGATGTTGTTGGAGATTAGGGTTCTGGGGGGAAGAGAGAGCAGAGGCAGGGTGGCAAGAGGAGTGGTGGGAGAGATGGCTGTAGGATTAAGGAGGTATTGGAGGCTATAATAGGCTTCGTTGAGGTTTGGTTGATTTGGGTCCATTGTGATTGAGATTGAATTGAGATATTTCAAATTGGTTTTGAGGGGTTGTATAGGGTTTAGAGACTCATCATTCCTTCTGTTATAAGCATAAAAAGCATGACAGAAAATTTGTTCCATTTTGCTTTTCAAAAACATAAGAGTATTTTAACAGTTTGATAATTAAAAGAGCAAATTAATAAATATTTATTAATTTAGGTAGCACTTTTCTATCATATATTTGATGGTTTAACATTTTAGGTAATTTAGTTACAATCATCTGTTGTAGAAGATTATTCTAGAATATTACTTAGTAATTTAATTAATATATTATTTAATTAAAAAATTTGAGGAGTGCTCAAAGTTTCCCACCTTTTCTGAAATAACTTTCATGGCAATTGATCACCTCTTCTCTAAAAACATCTTACCAAAAACTCCTAAGAAGAAATAACTTTTTATGTTTATTTTTAAATAAATTCTTTTAAAATAAAGATTTAAAAACGCCAATTTATCTTCTACATGTATAACAGTACTTTTAGTGATTTCCTAAAAGCATAGCAGTAGTAATTGAAGTTGATAAAAAACATTAAATAATAAAGTTTTGTAAGGTGAGTTCACTATAAACTTATCTCCTAGTTTTTCTTTTTTCATTTTGAGTGACCTATTCCTATTATAAAGTTTTAATAGCAAACTCCTCAAATTTTAGTATTAAAACAGTCTATTGATTAAATTACTAAGTAATATTCTAAAATAAGATTCTACATCAAATGATTGCAATTAAATTACAGATGTTAAATCATCATATGTATGATAGAAAAGTTCTATAACTAAATTACATATGTTAAATTAACAGCGTTTCAATATTTGTTAATTTTCTCTTTTTAATTATCAACCCAATGTTATTGAAAAGCCAAAACAAAACCAACTTTTATGTTATGCTTTTTATAGGAAGGTATGAGTCTCCAAACCCTATAAACCGCTCGAAACCCAATAGGAAAACCTCAATTCAATCTCAATCACAATGAACAGAAATCAACTAAACCTCAACGGAGCCTGCTATGGCCCTCCAACCCCTCCTCCATCCTACAACCACCTCTCCTGCCACTCCTCTTGCCACTCCTCTTACCTCTTCTCTCTCCTCAAAAAAACTAATCTCCATCATCATCATCCTCGTCCTCCAGCCATCTAGTGCCCAAATGAAATCACAGTCTGTCTCCTCAACCGACCTCTCCCAATTCAACCTCACCAACAACCACCACCTCCTATATGACCCCTCACTCAACATGAAATTTTGAAAACCTAACAAAAGAGTAGAAATTTATTATGATCACATCAAGGCTCCAGCTATTCACACTGCTTCAGGTTTTGAGTATAGTAATCAGTTGCCGAATTTTTATCAAGGGCATAAGAATTCTATAAATTTGCTTCTGAGGTTTCAGAGGGAAGGGTAGACTGTAAAGCATAAAAGAAGGTCCAACTGAATTATCAACATCAGTGTATAAATGAAATTAAGAATAACCACATTGAACTTTAGATGATATCAAATTTACAAGCCATGTACAAGCAGTGACATTATATTAAATATTACTTACTGAAGCAAAGCGCGATAAGGATGAAAAACTACTAAATAATAGTCAAGGGCTTCTAAGAGCTTCATTTCCATTTCTAGGATGTCCTTGATTTCAAAGCGATATTTTTCGTCTGGACCTATTATGTAAATTTAGATACAAGTCAATAGGTAACATATTTAATGCATTATAATATTGTTCATGGAAAGAAATAATAAAATGTGGGAATATAACCTAAAAATATGCTGAAAAGATAAACACTTACACATTTTCTTGATGTAGAATACAAGAAGTCTAGCCTGCACTGTGCTTTCCTCAGCTTTAGAGGCCAAGTACAAGCAAGTGGGAGCAACTAAACGAGGATCATATTCCGTCATGCTCTTCCTATTACATAAAGTAAAATATTTAGATCAAGAACTTTTACATATAATCCACTCATTTTGCTGTTCTTCGGTCATGCAAAATATAATATAGTTGAAACTGCAGATCTTTTTTCTTCAAAGTTTGACATGGCACATTTTTCTACAACAAATTAACCATTGAAGAAACATAATATTGTTATAAATGAAGGAACGAAGAAAAAAATAAACTACCTAATAACTCCAGCAAAAAGCAATATTTTTCACATCATCAAATATTTTAATTATTAGCATATTACCATCCATCCAACTCACCATTCTATCACACTTACTCCCTTTGCACACCTAGATCCTTAATGGCCCAACATTTACACCCATAAGCATTATTTGTCTTATGATCATCCTAAAGAATCCCTTCAATTGTAGGGGTATTCGATGGTCCTAGGAGATTCCAGAAATAATTATCCAAGTTAAACATCCTGCATTCTATGAATTGCCTCCTTGATCTCACTACCATGATCTGAAAAAAAAAATCTTTGGATAAGTATCTGAAGAAATATGACACTAGTGCTACATTATCCTTATTATTAAATGCTTAGAAATATGAAATACTAGTCTTTCCTAACTAAAAGGCCTCATCATCAATCATCAATATTATTATTTGAGCCCTCTCCATGAGAATGGCTTTGGCTAAAGAGCAGATCTCAAAGATGGAAAAGGTCAAGAAAAGGATTGACCGGCTTTCTACAACAGTTAACCTGAATCAAACTCTATAAGCTAATACCGAAGTACAGGCAACGTATACTAGGATCATGCGTTCATTCCCACCTTGACAATGCATACAAACATGTAGCAAAGTCTTTCAGCATGCAATTTAGACCTTGTGTGCCAAAGAGCTAGCCTTCAAACAACCGTAAACTTGGAAGATATCTGGATAAAGAACTAAGTCCAAGGTAATGGGCTCCCGTCTTTCTCACCGACGTTGTCTAAGTAGGTTGTAAGAGGAGAGCCATCGGAATTCAAGATACATGGAATAAGCTGTTTAATCACTCATTACTTTCAATTTAATGGTTTGTTTAGTTTTGCACAATATCACTATCAAATCAATTTTTATATTTCAAACCAATGTTCAAGAAGGTGAAAGTGCAAGAAGAACCATCGGACAACTTTATAAAGCAAGATGTCAGGTTCTAGACATGAAGCATAAGCCTCATTTAAAAAAATGAAAACTCTGAAGCTTGGG